TTTAAAATATATTTAAAATATATTTTTCATTAACCTTGTAAAATTGATATATTTTATACATAATTATATATATAATTTTTAATTATATATAAAATATGTCCATATATAACATTTTTTCTCGGGAAGACATTATAGATTGAAATAAAAGTATCTAGTGCTACTTCATTTGTATCATGTCAACACTCAGCACATTCTTAAAAAAAATTTGGTAATTATACGATTTCATTATGAGAGGAAGTGTGGCAAAGCAGACAACGCACTGTCTGCTATAATAGAGATCCCGAATTTGATTCCTGATAGATCCAAAATATTTTCATATTTCTCGTGTCTTCTTTCGGAAGAAAATGGCAACCCATCGAGAATATCTTTGCCAAGAGCACTTCTCTACAATTTCATCGACATCACAATCGACATTAAATTGTAAATCCCATATGATTATTTACAATAACCAGCACACCACAACATGTAAGAGAAGTTACCACGCTCGAGCAATATTCTAATGAAAATAAAATCGGAGCGGAAGTCGAATGTAATGGGAGAGTAATAGAAGTGTAAATGAAAAGGTGAAAATTGAAACAACGAAAAAATGTAAAAGAGGCATTTACGCTTCTTTTATATTCCGTTGTTTCAATTTTTGCCTTTTAGAGGTTTCATTTATGCTTCTATTACTGTCCCATTACATTCGACGCTCCGATTTTTATTTTCATCAGAACTGAGGAGGTGACTCTCTATAAGCAAAGTTCCAGCTTTAAGAATTTCTTTTGTTAATTCCGATAATTTTTGAAATTATGAACAACGAATTACGAAAATTTTGAAATTATGAACAATCAAAAGTGATCCTCTTAATTAACCCGCGATAAATCACGAAAAAATCTTAAATACGATTTTTGGCTCGTTCAAAATTTACAATATATATACTCAAGATAATACAACAATATATAACAATAGCATATTCAAACAAATTATTTTTTCCTTCTAATCATCTATTTTTGTATTAGTTTCCAAATTTTTAATTGGATAAAATCTTTTATAAAATAATGTAAATGTAACAAAAGCTTAAACTTTACATAAGAATTTTTATGTAATAGATACAAAAATCAAATTAAAGAAAATTAACATTCTTTTACAATAAATTATAACTCTGTTTTATCTCCTTTAAAAATCATGTGTTAGAAATGTTGCTCATAAATTTCGTGACATTGAATAACTAATATAACTACAATATGATTATTTGAAGAAAACTTCTGTTTGGAATCCGATTTCGGCGGCCATGACCGACTAGCAGATTTCGCTGCAAGAAAAGTAAAAATTTTACGGACCTAACTGGTGACCGAAGCTGTGAATATCCCTGCCTCTCGTAAAGTCTTTCATCTCGCCGGCAGAAGGCGCCTCCATCGTGGACCTCACTGATAAACAGCTAATGCTACATACCACAAAGAGACGCGAGCCGTCGCGACAACGCATACGAAGTACCTCCGGCGCGCAATTCTCACGTGTGTTTCGACGCGTTTTCGATTACTATTGATAAATTGGCACAAATTTGCCGCGTTCAAGGAATACGACTTCCGGTGTGAACATTTGATCAAAGGCCGGGGAAATATCAAGAGGAAACTAGGGCGTATTTTATGCGACCGTAGCCGCACCGCCGTGGAGCAGCAGGTAAAAATTCTTCGAATAAAGTGCGTGCGTGCGTGCGTGCGTGCGCATGGCGAACACGTGGCGTCGCGACGGCGCGTCGCGGATGCGACAGGCCATTGTTCCGCATCAATGAAGTTCCGTTCTAAGCAACCATTGACAGTTAGCGTCAGCCAAGCTTAACGATCGACATGTCGCAACCCAAGGCCGTGGAGGACATGTTTGCCGCTCGAACTCGATTGCTCGAAATCGCTACACTGCGAGATTTCCCGCTCGCATTTGAACGACTCCCGATGAACGACCTTGTTCTAGGAAAAATAATGATAAAATAAAGAGAAAAGCTAGATTTTCCCCGGAAATTTGTATACCGCGCGTAGTCGCGTCGCGATTTTCAAAACGGTGCTCCGCAACGTCGAGTGGACTTCGTTTACTCCGCTCGCTTTTGCTGTTCGCTTTTCTGTTATGTAAGGATCACGCTCTGTAAATGTGCAATCTTAGACGCCATTTTAAACGAGCGGTGCGACTCGAGCCGGAATTTGAATGCGCTACGTTTGCAAAATTCTCATATCTATTACTTGATTTGAAATATTATGCGGAAAAGGACAGAAAGTTTATTAAAAATAACATATAGGTTTTCTCTTCAAGGAAAACTGAAGTCGATTAAGTTGTGTTTAATTCAGTTATCTATAGATATTATAATTACGGAGAAATGAACATTGTATCGATTACTTGTCAATCATGATATAATGTCAACAATAATCTTTTAAGATTACTGTTCAAGCTTAGTTTTTATAAAGCGTGATTCTTATATTATTTGTCCATTGGACAAATAATCCTTTCCTCACACTAATAGCACAATTTATTGGTACAATATTGACCCAGTATATCCTCAATGCATGTCAATAGTTAATCAATGTATCGCCAATGAATTGTGCTGCATAATTTTCTTATGAATTTTCATTATTTTTTTATTTGTATCTATTCCTTGAGATTTAAACAACATTATGACAAATTAAATCAATATATATGTGGCGATGATTGCAAAAAAGACACATCCTAATAAAAAAAACTTTTATAAGCATAGATTAGATTATAAGCTGATAACAATTATTTTTTGAATAACAATTATTTTATATGAAATAGATTAGATTATAAATCGATAATAATTATTTTTTATGATATTATACTCTGTTAGATATCAAAGGAGAAATGATAACTCAATCCCTTCAATTAAATAATGTTTAATTAAAAATAATAATTTTTAATTTTAATGTCAAAATGTAAATCAATCTATTTCTGTGATTGAATTGCTTATTTTTAAACAACATTTATTTTAATGTATGCACTTAATTAGTAAATAATTAAATGTTAATCAAATTTAATACATTTATGGAATTGTTACATTTATTGAAATTGTTTAACTCCATTGTTTTAGTTAAATTAATGACATATTGAATAGGAGTAGTGACGACCTACAGAAATAATTAAAAATAACTCAAATTAATTTATAATTAAATATAATTTGACATTATAAATTTAACATTATAGATTAAATTTAATGTATAGTACGATATTGAAAATCACCATGAAAATTTATTAAAGCCACAAAAGATAAATCAAATTCGGATTATCATATAAAAAATATCATATTTCGAAAAAAATGTACAATACATTATCTATAATTTAATTTTTTTTTGTATTATGAATGATGGCGGCATGATAATTCGCTTCATTGATAGATTATTAAGCTAACTAAGATATGAATCTAAATAATAAAATTGCGTAATTAATTTTTCCAACTCTGCAACATTTCTTGGATTTCCAACGGAAAATTTTACAATTTTTTAACTTGGATACGGAGGATGCGTATTATTACGGTATCACGACATCTGCTATCAGATGACTGATATATCGTGCAAAGTAGGTCTTCAGCAGAGTAGCAACTATATTTGTCACTCATGCGAGCGATTTTCTGAAAACCGAGATTTCGCATAAAAATTTACCAAGTGCCAATTATTTATCAATCGCGTGACGCGATACCGACTTTCAACTGCAACTCTGTAAACTGTACACGGGAATATAATATGTTACACAACCAAAAGACGTAGGAAATTATTTACATAGGAATTTATTTACGTGGTGAGGAAGAAAAAATAATATAAATTAATAGGCTCTCATGGCTCGCCTATTAATTTATGTATTTTATATTATTTCTTCTTCAGTAAAAATCTCGAGTTATTCTTCATAAATACCATATTCTTGGTATTTATTTAAAAATATTTACGCTCTCAATCATATTTCATGCATTTCACGCATTTGAAAAATATATTTGTTGGAACTTTAAACAGAGTATTTACGTTAAAATTAGACAGTTTCGTTAACGGAGACGTTTTATTATTATTATGACGTAATAAATGGCAATGCTATCTCTTTACTACGATTAGACTTTGACGACCACACGGTTCAGCATATGTTTACGCACAGTTGAAATTAAAGGAAACTTTGGCTCGAACTTCGGACTTTTTAATGCAATGTCTCGCTTATTCTTCATGCAGACAACGATGTCATACAATTGCGCCTAACTCTGACAATCGATCCGACCGTGGCCCAAGTTGACAGCAATTTAAAATCGCTTCTGCTCCTTCGTAAGATGTCCCGCGGGATAATTCCGATATAATTAAGATCCATCCGGCGCCATCCGGATCAAGAATTAACTCCGTTCTTTCCTACTTTCGCCGAAATCTCATCGATATTTATGATCGTCCCACGCGAAAACATCCTTAAGGCACTCTCGTAATCGTTCGATATTTCCAAATATTTCCATATTAATTATGGATCTTGTTTTCATCACATTTTACAAATTTGCATGATTTTTCATATTATACATCTACGTTTGGAAATTTCCAAATAGTATAGAATTCAAAGAGAACTTTATGTACATATATTGGGTTGTCCGGAAAGTTCGTGCCGATTTTGAAGGAAAATTGAAACGCAGAAGATTTAAATTTTTAATTTCATTTATTAAA